CAAAAAAATTTAGTGCATGCACGTTCAGCAAATACCCTAGAAAGCTATACATAATGTTGTTAAAAATCCTAATGAAGTATCAACTTAGCCTTTTAGCAGCTCATTGCCCCTACTACTACCTGCCGAAGCAAATGTTACAGATTAGGGCCATTATCTTTACCACTTTTGTAAGAGCTTTAGCTTTAGGTTCCATTTATAAAAAAAATGGGTTGCAGCTTCTATAAAAAGTTGTTCTGTTACATGAAATCATTAGTGTATAGAGAGCGGTAGGATTCAGTAAGGTGTGTGAAGACACCAGCCGTGCGTGTAAGTGTGTGAGCGAGAGCGCATTCATGCATATGTTATAGTCCATCTTGCCAGGTTATTATCTGGTGGCTATCCTGTCCATCCTGTGTGTAGCAACACTTGGTGTAATCATAGTACAAGAACAGGGCTCTCACATCAGGTGGGGTTTTATCCCTGGTATACCCCTCCCCCTTTTTCTTCCACCTGCTTCCCTCTCCTCCAACCAGGATCCCTCCCTTCTCTCATCTCCCATTTTTGACCAGGGAAAGTCTGGGAATCAATGAGAAGACTAATGCCATTTTAGGTGAAAGGGGGTAGGGGTTTGACTCAAGATGTCCAAGGGCGTCTCCTGACTTCGCCAGTTTGCTGTCCATCCCACTCCGGACAATACTGGAATAAAGATATCCTCGTGGGTCAAATTGATGTGTGCATTGTCACGAACGGTTTAAAACCTATCAACAAAATGAGTTATTATTGAAGGTGGCATTTTAAATGTGCACTTCGTATGTACTTTAATCCCGAGGGCATAGACTTTGCTTACACTTAAAAAAAAATTCATGTGTCCTGAACTTGCATTGATTTAGGGATCAGTATAAAATAGGGCTGCTCTCTAGCAGTGAGTGACGAGAGAGGGTATTTAATTATTCTTAGATCTGTTTGCAAGGGTTGAGATCTAGCTCCTGTTCAAGGTCTGGTCTTGCTTAACTGTTTTCAGGGTGACAAGCGGTACCTTTAACTTGAATTATGAGCTTTGGTACTGTCATACTTGCAGCCTTTTCATTACTAAATTCACTTCAGCTTGGGCTGTTAAAACTATGCGATCTCTCGACTAGTTCAGAACTACCTGTTTATTATATAATTAAATTTTGCTATTAAACTACAATAGATGGACTATTTGGGAGGAGACTGTAGGAGGGAGAAACTTTGATTTTTGGGGGGGGGGGGTGTAGAACGTAGGTTGACTACTAATGGGTTACTATTGAACTAATGGAGAGACTGTAGGCAGATTTGGTGGAGGGGAAACCTGTAGGCTGACTACTGGCGGAAGGTGATCTTGTAGGTCGACTACTAGGGGAAGGAGACTGTAGGTCAATTGAGGGGATAGGGGGTGAAGACAGCAGGTAGACTACTGGGGAAAAGAACGCTGGGACTACACGTTAAGGTTTAACTCTAGATTGTCTCGCCTTTACTCCTAGCGACGTTGCCAAGCAATGAGTTAATATTACCCGTGAATGTTATTACTGGCCTTCCTCATTAATTCCTTTTCTTTATTTGCAGTGGATCTTGTATTGTAGCATTGTGTTTGTCACGTATCTACCATTATTTGTCATTGGAGTTACTTTTTTTTAATTAAATGTTGCAGTTAATGGCTCTTGTATGGTGCTGGAGTTAGCAGCAAGATTTCCAGCGATGACCACCTACATACCAAGTTCTTCCTTCCCTTTACACCCGTTTTCCCTCCCATGCATGTCATAAACGTTCCCGTTTTGAGTTACAGGTTAAATCTCCCACATTATTTCCTAAAGAATTAAGTTGCTTAGCTTATTAGTTCAGTACTAAAATATTCCAATAATTTATGTTACTTTCTCTCTACAATTTATTTTGCATATATTGTTAAAATTTGATTTGTCTGAATATATTGCTGTTTATTTTTCCTTATTTTTGTATTATTTGAAAGTTGTCAAATGCTAATCTTGTGAAGCTCAAGTATTTTTTTTATCATTACTAATTAGTATAGAAGGGTATAAATCTGAGAATTTGTCTGGCAAAGGAATAGTGTGTGTAAAAAAAAGCTGTATGCGTGCACGCTTGCATTCAAGTTAAAGACAGGTATTCTCTCCAGTGTGTAGTTGGAGTGTATGTGAAATTTGTATGTTTGAATGAGAGCGAGCATACACAAAATTGAAGGCGGTACTCTGATTGGTCGCATTTTTGTCTTTACAGGCTGAGGGTGAAGTGGCTGCACTTAACCGTCGCATCCAGCTGCTAGAGGAGGATCTGGAACGCTCAGAGGAGCGCCTTAACACAGCCACCACAAAACTGGCAGAGGCTTCCCAGGCCGCCGACGAGTCTGAGCGGTCAGTATCTCCTGACGAACAGGACCAGCGTGCCCAACACCTCCTCTCACGCATCGCCGATATCGGCGCCGAAGTGGAGCGTCTCTTCGCCGCCCTACAGGCTGAGCAGGCGGCACAGGAGACGCTCTGACCCGCCCAGTCTGCCACTCGCCATGCCCCCGCCCACATCCACTACTACCACCTTTCCTTTTCATGGCCAGTGGGCGGCGTGTGGTACTGGGGGCGTAAGTCGGCGGTGCTGGGGGAGAGGTGGGGCCAACTCACCCCCAGCCCATTCTGCACACCTTACATATGACAAAACCGCCTCATACCATAGTTGGCATAAGGACGGAAAAAAAATAAAAAAAAAAGAGAATCGCATAAGTGCATTGGAGAGAATGAGAGCATTATAAACACAAGAGCCAAGTGGTAAAAGACAAAAAAAAAAAAAAAAAGTTGGAATGGTGTAGCAAGCTTGGTGGTGGTGAAGCCAGGCTACTGTTCCCTTGTGGTCACTTGTTCCCTCCCCGCCCAAAAAAAAAAAAAAAAAAAAAAAAAAACAGGGTTGACGAGACCACATCAGGTAAGTCTCCAATAGTCATTCTCCCAGTGAACCATCCACAGTTTGCCTGAGTACCACTACCCTTCATACCCCCACACAGTCACTTCAGTAGGTATATATACCTATGCCTATGATCATATATGAGGACTTTTTTCCACACTATTTTTAGATATTTTAAAATGGTAAATACATACATAATGGTGTAGTGAACAAAACGGCACAGTACCATGACTGAAACAATGCACAAATAACCCATACATAGGAGAAAGAAGCTAACGACAATTCGGTCCGACTCTGAGAAGGGCCCTTTTGGGCACTTGGCTCTCCTGCAGTGCTCTTTTTCCTTGTCCTTTGGCGCCACTTCTACCAGCACTACTACCATTCCTACTGTTGCCACTACCTTTACTTTCGTCTCCTTTCACCTTTCCCTCCCCTTTCTATCTCTTGTCCCACTAAAACTACTATTACTTTATACTACCACCACTACTACTACTGCTTTCTCTACCAACCTTACCGCTACTACTACCTCCCATGGTCCTGTCCATGTTAGTTGGCTTATATACACTGGCTCCCTCTCTTTTTGTTAGTGTGGCTTTGTAAATGGTCCAAGTTGGACCAAAACCGTGTCATAAGCTTCTCTCTCCTATATGCAAGTTATTTGTGTATTAATGGCGTAATATTTGAGGAAAAAGTTTTAAGATGTTATGCTGTATTCAGTCATTCATTACCTAACTCATTTGTTATCCCTCATTATCTTGCTCTTTCCTGTGTTCACTTTTAATTTTCTTCCTTTACATACCCTTCCAAATTTGTCCACCAACCTTTGCAACTTCTCTTCAGACTCTCCCAAAAGTACAGCATCATCAGCAGAAAGCACCTGTGACAACTCCCATTTTGTATTAGATTCTGCGTATCTTAATCCCACACCTCTTCCCAACACGACTCACGAAATCGTAATGACACGATTGCAAACAAACCATACCAGGGGCGGGGATAGAACCCTAGTATTTCCTTTTTACAACCTCATCTACAAATATGTAAACAACCATGATGATATCCATGAAATCACTAAAAGCCTCTTTGTTTATCTGCAATCCTGCTCTCCATCTTACTCTTAATTTTTTTTCAATAACTCTACCGTACACTTTACCTGTTGTATTCAACAGGCTTATTTACTCTTTTGTCCCCATTTTCTTTATACACAGGAGCTATGCACACACTGCCAGTCCCTAGGTATTCCATCTTTTATTCATTTATTGAAGAAAAATACCAATCACTCCAAAACTATATCCCCACCTTCTTTTAACATTTCTGTCATGACCCCATCAATCCTAGCTGCTTTACCCCCCATTCATTTTACACTCTGCCTCACCCACCCCTACTTATACATCTGGCTCTTCCTCACTCCTAAAGGATGTTATACCTCCCTGGCCAATGCATAAAATCACTGCCTCTTTCCTCATCAACATTTAACAGCTCCTCAAAATATTACTGCCATCTTCCCAGTACCTCCAACTTCCCATCTGATAACTGTTTTGTTTTTAACTGTCCAATCCATTTGTTCCTTAGGGGTTTTCAGCCTATTAATCTCACTCTAAAACTTCTTATTTTCAGAAAAAATTGACAGAACATCTCGCACACACTTTTGCTCTTTCACACTCCCTCGCCACTCTTAACTTCTCTTACTGTCAATATACTCCACCCTCCTTGTATTGCTTCTGCTTTGTAAAAACCTCTTGTATACCAGCTTTTTCTTCCATACATGTCATTTGTCTACATTAAATTCGTCATATGTCACTCCCCATGTGCTTAATATATTCAGATCCACTTGTAAGGATTTAGTTACTTTCATTAATAATTTTCCTAACATTTTAGCATTATCTGCAAACACGTTCATATAATTTTTTATTCCTTCTGTAAACCATTTATATAAATTAGAAACATTATTAGGCTAAGTACAGAACCTTGTGGCACCCCACTTGACATCTCTCATGGAGACATTTTTTCCTCTGAGTCTGTCTGGCACTGCAATAATTTACCTTTAATTCCTCCTATAATTTGCAGCTTCCAAATTAGTCTTTCATGGAAAACTCTCTATCAAACTTTTTTCTTATAATTGGGTAAGTACAACCTGCCTATTCTTTCTTTCCTGACCAATTTCCATAACTTATAATTATTTACCAGTTAGTATGTTATTTTTCTCTAGGTGTTGAGTCCATTTTAATGGCTTTTTCCAGTTTTACAACAGTTGTCAGTGGAACTGGCCTGTAATTTAAAGGGTTTACCCTGTCACAATTTTTTTAGTACATAAGCAAAATATGTGCCATCTTCCACACGTTTCCCCATTCCCTTCCTGTGGTTTGATATTAAAAACTATCTAAAAATGGATACTACAACTCCTCTGCACATTCTTTTAAGACCCAAGGTCCCATCCTGTCTGGTCCAATAGCCTTTTTTCTTATTAGCATCTAGTAACAGTGTCTTTACTTCCTCTTCATTTGTCAGTATCCTCTAATTCAACTATCTGCGACTGAAATCTTTTACACGAAAAATATCTTTGGTGAACACTGAAACTATCGAATACTTCACACATTTCCTCCTCTACCTCGCTGCTTTTGCTGTTATCATTTATTCCTTGTATTTTGTCTTTAACATTTAGTTTAGTTTTTACAAACTTAAATAAAAGGTTTGGTTCTTCCTTGCTCTTGTTTACTATTTCCTTTTCAGAATTTTTCCAAAAAGGAAAAAGTAGATATTTTTAGCCTCCTTGAATCTTTTAATAAGTTTTTTGATTGGCCTACTTCCTATACCTGGAGAGGGTTTTGGGGGTCAATGCCCCCATCGCCCGGTCTGTGACCAGGCCACATTTCGCCCTATATTCTTATTTAGAATATACTGTACTGTTTAATTCTATTTTCATGTGCGTTACAGAACTTTATACAGATTATTTATATCTGTCCCTTGTTGTATCTGCCCTCAGTTACAGTTAATTTCTCTAAAATACTGTTTTAAAGTATTGTAATTCCCTTATAATCATTCCTGTTCATGAATTTTGTCATCTAAGTCATGTGCCACTGCACAAGTTATTTCCAATAGAACATGACCACTTTCCAAGTGGGTTTAAGTAGGTTATGTTGAAAATTCCCTTTGCTATTCGAGTAAACTCTAATATTGATGGTGTGTTGCCTTTTCTCATTCTTGTTGCTTCATTTATATATTGATGCGTTAAAAAACTGTCATATTTAGGAAATTTATTGACCCTTTACTTGCAGTTCCAACTTCACAGGGTGCCTAATGAGATCTCCAAGTTCAGTAACTTTATCGGTCACTTTTCATCAATAGTTCCTTAAGGATATTGTGTAATCCTTTATTTATCCTGTCAGTCTTCTCTTTCCCAAGTACAGTGGACCCCCGCATAACGATCACCTCCCAATGCGACCAATTATGTAAGTGTATTTATGTAAGTGCGTTTGTACGTGTATGTTTGGGGGTCTGAAATGGACTAATCTACTTCACAATATTCCTTATGGGAACAAATTCGGTCAGTACTGGCACCTGAACATACTTCTGGAATGAAAAAATATCGGTAACTGGGGGTCCACCGTATTATTAAATGGTGGGTTATATTAATTTACTACTGAAAGATTCTCATCTTTATTTGTACTCTTAGCCGTAAAATTTCAACATTAAATAAGTCTTTTAAATAAATACCAATACAATTGCCAAACCACCACCCTATCTTTTTACTCTCTCTTCTCCACCACACTGAGTAATTTCCGTTACATAAATACAGCCTCGTATAAAATTTATTTTTCCAGTTTGGTTTCAGTTAAACAAACTGTATTAGGCTTCTTTTCATATATAATATCCATAAGTTCTAATTTTTTTGACATTACTCCATCTATATTAGTGTATAAAATCTTCAAAAATTATATCATTATTTTCCTCCTTTTTTGATCCATTTGTTTCAACACTGTTTTCATCTATCGTGTGGTTGTTTCTTTGAAAACTATATAATGGGTTTGTAGAATCGTGTTACTCTGGGGGGGAAAAGTCTTCCTCATTTCCACCTTCATTCATCCTCTTAGCAGTGTTTAACCCCTTCAGGGTCCAAGGCCAAAATCTGAAGTGGTGCCCCAGTGTCCAAGAATTTTCAAAAAAAAATTTTATTTTTTCTTATGAAATGGTAGAGAATCCTTTTGTGAAGGTAATAAAACAAAAAGTACGAAATTTGATGGAAAATTGACGAAATTATGCTCTCGCAAATTTTGATGTGTCAGCGATATTTACGAATCGGCGATTTTGCCGACTTTGACTCCCATTTTAGGCCAATTGCATTATTCCAGTCGACCAAATTCTTAGCTATTTCACTAGTATTACTTCTATTCAATCGATTGAGCACAAGAAATCGCCAAGTCAACTGTTTCAACTACAAAATAATGTGATTGGAAATTGGTAATTTGGCCAATTTAACACAAAGTTCAAAATATTCCAATTTCAAAATAGGGTCCAGAATAAACAATGTAGGTATTCCTGGCACTAAACTACCATTTCCTCTGTTCATTAGTTACGTTTTGAGGCTTTACAAATAAATTCCAATTTGATTTCTTGTTCACATAATGAATTTTTATTCACACCAAAAAATAGAAGATTTACTGTTATGCAAAATTGTAATAATTGTATAAATATCATCACCACATTTGTGAATGTATATTAGACCCACCAGCTGGTGTGTATTAGACGTGTGAGGTCGTTTGTTTACTCTTGAACATCGGCAAAATTTTAACATTTCCGCTACTTTGAGCTCAGTTTCAAGCCATTTCCAGTGCTAAAACCAATCAAAATCATCTCTATTTCTGTAATATGCCTTCCATTCTATCAAATGAGACCAAGAAATCGCAAATACAACTATAAAAAACATACGAAAAAACACTGCAAAGTCACTATTTTAATCGAAAATCATGGTCTCGGTTTTTTTCTCTCATTATACACAATGTGCTGCAGGATTTGTTTTATGTGGTGCACACATACCACATAGATGTATTCTCTCATATCTAGGCCCAAATGTACCACTCACAGTTTATCAGAGTGAGCTGAGCTCATGACGTAGATCTACGGTTTGGACCCTGAACGTAAAGCCGTAGATCTATGGGACGGACCCTGAAAGGGTTAAGAAACCTTGACTTTTACTTATTCTCCTTTTGCAAGACTAGTCAAATTAGTATATCCTTGTAACCCTCCTATTCCTTGATGTCCTTAGCATTTTTTCCTTATGTTTAATCTTTGTAAATATTATTTTCAGTGGCCAATAGTTCTCTCATATTTTTCAGTATACTTGGTACCTATATACCCAGTATGATCTTGAAAGCTGGAATCCACAGTGCATTTTTTCACCTCATTTTTGTTTTTCTTCCTCTCTGATTCTTTCTGTTTGTAATTTTATTTCCTTTTCAACATAGCAAAAAAAAAAAAAAAAAAAAAAAAAAGACATTTTTGTCTTTATCAACAATGTCCCTCAATAACTTTAGAGTTATTTGCAATCTCCTTTTAAATTTCTAGACTCTAGCAGTGAATTCTTTATCTGATATCACCTGTTGTTTAATCTCTTTCCAGACTTTAAGAAACATCCTGTGCTAGCTGCACCTGATGGTCTTGTGCTTTGTTGCTCTTGCATAACTAACTTCTAATATATTTTTCGTTGTTTAAAGGTTACCAAACCTTTATTTTTTCTCAGTATTATCCTTATTTTTAGGGATTTCTTGATCTGTCTCCTCTCTTCTTCATTATCTCAGTTTCCTCATTTAATGTCTTCTGCATTTGTTGTAAGGATGCTTTTAAATCTATTTCATTTTTTAAATTAATTTTCCTTATTTCTCTTAATCCCTTTTTGCCTTGCCTGAAGTTGTTCAATTTTAGTAAATATCCATCCATCCATCCACTGGTTTCCTTGTCAAGAAGTATATAAGCATAGCTATCCTTAGACCATGTACCCTCTGCCATATTTTTTGTAAACAAATGTACCACTGAGAGAGAGCGAAAGAGTGAGGGTGAGAGAGCCTGCATGCGTGCATCTACTCTATTTGTGGTTGCAGGAGTCGATTCACGGCTTCTGGCTCTGTGTGCGCATGTTTGTTTTAGGATTTTGGTATTTGATGTACTAGAGAGTGAGCACGATGTATACAAAGAGAATACTATAGTGAAACTGGCTATTTAATTATACAGTCTTGTTGGTAGGGAGAAGGGTGGGTTATCAGTGGATTAGTTGTGCCCTTCAAGAAAGGGATAGCTAGGTGGAAGTGATGATCATTTATCATTAGTAGTAGTAGTAGTAGTATTCTGCCATGGCGGGAAATGCCCGTGTAGAAAAATATATATTTATGTAAATTGTTAGATAACCCAAGCCTATTTCCTCTTGTATATCTTGATGCGGCTTACATTGGATGCCTCGCCAAACCATCACCACCTTCACCTTGACCCCTCGACATCTCGACTCGTCCATCACCACCATTATCGTCTCCTCCCATCACTATCATCAGAGCCCGGAAGTGCCTGGAAAATAGAGCGAATATGGAAGATGATCGTGTTGGCATCCTGGAGACACAGCTTGCACAGGCAAAACATATTGCAGAGGAGGCAGATAAGAAATATGAAGAGGTATGACCTAAATGCCCATGCGTAATTGTTAGTGGGAAGATCACCGGACATCCCACATAGTGTGGCATCTCTGTTAGCAGGAACGAGAGCAAAGTTTGACTAAAATTGGGTAAAACATAAAATTATAACTTTTCATAATATAAAGATGATAGTGTATTTTTTTTTACTGAAGGCAAATCTGGCACCATCACTCAACTTCACTACCATGCTGACTAGGTTTAGTGAATGAGCTAGATCTAGCATGTAAGAGTTCGTCAGATCGGTCCCTGGTATTCATTACTCAATTTGGTAAAAACATATTAAAACTTGCTGCCTCTTTCCTGCTGCAGTTTTTTGCAGAAATTTTAGGAAGACAATCATCTCTCAACTGCTTTAGCGGTACCAGTAGTGGAAAGCAGAGCAGCAGTACTACAGGACGAGGGTGCCGGCTGTTGTGAGTTGCGGACTTCCACTCATATTTTGGTGACATTCCTTTCCTACAGCATGCGCAAGGTGCTGGAGAATCGTTCCCTGTCAGATGAGGAGCGTATGGATGCTCTAGAGAACCAGCTTAAAGAGGCCCGATTCTTGGCTGAGGAAGCAGACAGGAAATACGACGAGGTGATTGCTGCATGACGACAGCTGGAGTGCGTGTGCCTTGAAGTACTCCCTGGACCCGCTAGTAGTTACTTTCTAACTCGTGTCTTTTGACCTCTCCTCTCTGTTGTCTGTTTCAGGAGTGAGTTCTGCCCTGTGTCATCTCTAGGTTATCCCATGTGTCTAACTTCTCCATTATATACAGTAGTAGAATAATGGCAATCTTAAGCCACCTTGTGCTTACTAACTGCCACAACTACTCACATAACCTTGAGTTTTTGTATATTACCGTGATGAGTGTTCTTTTCAGTCATAACAGTGAAGCATGATTAACCACCGTGAATACTGATGTAAGCAGACGTCCTTGTAGTTTCTAACTCTTTACTGAATAGCAATCTTAAGAAAAATTTTCTCAACTATTCTTAATATTTTGTAAACAAATTTTTAGTTTACCCTCATGTTGTATAAACTTGATAAATTCAGTACCTTATTTCTCCACTGTACGAAATGTGTACAGTTGGTGCCCCTGGGAGGAGACTTAAGCTGTGTTGCTCCCAGCTACTTCAATACTTAACCTTTTGGCGGCTTTGCTCGCCACTTTCCTCTTGACTGACAGCCCCTCCTGCCCACCACAGGTTGCCCGTAAGCTGGCCATGGTTGAGGCTGATCTTGAGCGAGCTGAGGAGCGTGCAGAAACTGGTGAATCGTAAGTGTCAGGTTTAAGGGTGCTACAGCACTGGAGTTTTATCTTCCTCCCCTGAGGTTGCAAACCTCAGGAGTGTGTGTTTGTGTAGAACTGATTCTTGCATGCAATATTTTAGAGGACATTCTTCAACGTGCATACTCCTGTGCTCTTGTGTTAACATGCCTCTTCAGAAGTATGTTAACAGGCTTTCACTACTATGAATAGTTTCTTTGACTTAACTGCAGCACTGTGAGAATCTGTTGAGAAATGTTCTTAATTGTAGTTTTATCTGCTACCAACACTAGGCTGGGGGTTGCAGGTGTCTCAGCCATAACTGCGTTAAACTTAAAGTTATCTCTCAGGACTTCACAGCTGTGAGCAGTAGTCACTTTGTAGAGCGTGGCAGACAAGTCAGCAGATGCCTGCTCCAGTATTAACAAATGTAGTCAAGCTTGGGTTTATAGTTTAGCAAGAGTGTGTGTGTGAGGCATGTTGCTGGCTTAGGTCTGCTGCGCTCCCTATCCAACTACTCACCACTCATTTAGTCTTCTCTTCACAGGGACTGGGATTTGTTGTCGCATCTAAATATTTTGGTGTACATTATATTTTTAATACCTCTTTGTAAGCACTTATTTTTGTTGCTTGGTGTGTTTATAATTTAGTTTTATAAGTTTCTGTATAATAAGGGATTTTTGCATGAGTTATTTGGTTACAGTTTTATATACCACCTTGCACGGCCTCTCACGCTGACAAGTTTCACTATTATTGAGCTTGTGTTCACTGGGATTAATCAAAATAATATGGAAGGGTAGATATAATGTTGACTGGATTTAGCATACAGGGGTTCATTTATGCTTTTAAGTAATGCTGCTGGACAGTGATTTATTGTATTTTTTGGGGGGAACAATTGCCTGACACTGATTTTTGTCATTTGATGAGCCATTCAAGTTAGGCATTGATCACTCCCAGTGTACATGGCCATCAACACCATACAACTCTGGTTAGCGTGGAGCTCACTGCATGGCACACAAGTAACTGTAGTGCTTTTGTTTGGTTGTTGCCTTGTTGGTGCTGCGTGATCGGGGTGACAACTAGCTGGCCCGCAAATGCGTCATGCTGGAGAACGACCTGGAAAGAGCAGAAGAAAGGGCAGAAGCTGCCGAGGGGTGAGTATATTTGGGTATAGTCACTGTACTACACTGTAATAACTACTGACCCCAAATTCTTGATTTTTGTTGGTAGCAGTAATAATACTGTACCTTAAAACTTACATGGGAGAAGTCTACAATAACCAAGCTTTATTTTTAGTTAAGTTTAATCGTAAGATATTGTACTATTTTTGCCTAGCTAAGTTATGAACAATGATTGTGTTTATGTTAATACTGTAGTTGAAACTCCATACTAGTTAAAACAGTGTAGATATATAGTGTAAATTGGACTGGTAATGAAATATGTTGAAACTAAAACATGTTGGTAGTGTAAAATGTATTGCAATGTCCCATCTTATCTTGCAGTAAGATTGTTGAACTTGAGGAGGAGCTGCGTGTTGTTGGCAACAACTTGAAGTCTCTTGAGGTGTCTGAGGAGAAGGTAAGAGAATCACTACACTTTTTTTTTTTTTTTTTTTTTTTTTTTTTTTTTTTTTTATTTCATATTACAAGCTAAGAATTGTTACCCCTGCTTATAATTGAACAATGAGAAGTGATGTGTGAATTGCACACATTAGTTTAAGTTGTAAAGCATTTATACCTGTAGTTGACTTCTGTGATCTAACTTGATAGATAATGTTCATGTCATCCAGTATTTTATATAAAGAACATGTTGCTGCAGTAATTTTCATATTTTATTTCATTGATTATAGCCAAAAAAAAAACGTTTGTTTAAATAAAACAAATGTGAAGTACAATCATAACATGGCTGGTGCTCAAGCACATGGGAAGAGAATACTAAAAACTCAACCAGTGTGCTAACTGCTGTTCCTGTGAGTTTTAGGCTCTCTTGCCTCATGTTCAGACCCCACCCATTCTGTAATATGCTTACAACCATGAAGTGAACTTGTGCGTCAAAATGTGTGTGTTTACACTCTCCTTCATAGTACAATTCCAGTCCTTCACATGGTTCACAGTATATGACTTTACTGTACTATAACTTATTCATATTATCTGGATGCAATAAAGTCTGAAGTAATTTAACTTTTTAATGCACTTGGAGTGAGTATTGATGAAAATGTTTTATCTTTTGGTCACCCTGCCTCGGTGGGAAATGGCTAATGCATTAAAGAGAGAAAAAAAATATCGCTCATGTCTTTCCTGTAGTAATTCCTTAGTTTAACTTAACACCTTTTTATTCTGTCTGGTGGTTGGTTACTCATGTATGTAAATCATTACAAACAAAACTTCAGTGTAACCCAGGAATATATGGGCCTATGTGGCTGGTGGTAAAGAGCCCAGACTAAGGGAAACCTTAACTTAACATTCCCCAACAGGCCAACCAGCGTGAGGAGGCTTACAAGGAGCAGATCAAGACCCTAGCCAACAAGCTGAAGGCGGTAATGATGCAGCGTGCCATTTTAGACCATATTTTATATATTGTTGACCTGGATTTACAGTGTTGACAATTCTTCCAGTCTTCCAAATGTTGACAGTCGTGTTCATCTAGTGTTGCTAATTGTTTTCTTAGTTTTACTAACCCATTGTAGGTTATTTTTAATTGAAGTAATGCATTTTATATGACTAAAGTTTTGTGTTGTGTGACAGTGTGAAACTAATCTTTAATTAGTAATAGAAGACTAATTATAGGGGACAGTTTGTCCTATTGGTGCTTCACACTTGCACACATTACATGAATATTGATGTGTGCACGTCTGTGTTTTACTCACATCTGTTTTTCAGTCTTTGATGTTTATACTTATGTGAATTGGTACTAACCTGGACATGTTTTTGTGTAAATGCAACAGTCTGCGCAAAAAGAAGACAAGATGGAGTCGCAGCTGAGGAGTTTGACACAAAGCTTAAGAGAGGTAATATCATCATTTGGTATAGGTGGCTAGTGTTGCTGGCTAGTATTACCAGGGGGTGTTGGATGGTTGGTTGCTCCCACCCCCTGCTCCCCTCTTTTTTCCTATCGTGGCTGTTCTTGTATGATTGAGTCTAATCAGTGCTTTGAAAAATCCTTGGGGTTATAGGCTCCTCGTATACTCCTTCCTGCAGATAGGGTATGCTGGTTGCATGTCGTGAGTACAGCTAAGAAAATGTGTAGGAATGTCAGCTTTGTGGTGGTATCTTCGTTTTGTATCATGGCTGGGGTGTAATGTAGAGCTGTGTCGGGAACTCAGAGGATAGGCAGATATCCTAGGCAGCAGCAGCACCTTCCGGAGGCGATACATAAGTCATGGTAGTGTTTGTCTTAGTGGGTGCCTGTCTTCTAAATGTTGTGTTAACTTGTGTTACCATTATTTTAGGCTGCACAGAGGGAGGATAACTTTGAGGAGCAGATCAAGGAGCTGAGTCATCGTATGAGAGAGGTATATGATTCCCTTCTTACCCGCACCCTTGTATGAGCCGCTTCACCTGCCTCCACACTACTAATTTCTTTCAGCATAAACACTAGTTTGCCTTCACACAGCTTCAATAATAATGTGCCACCATGCTTAGCCTACTTAATTTTTTGTAAACACACTAGACTAAAAGTAACATTTCTTGCTTTGGTAAACCTGTTAGACATCAGAGCAAATGAAACTTTCAATGAACCAATGCAAATTGCAACACAAAGCTGATTTTTTCTGCACTTGCTGATTTCTTCTCTCTGTGCCACCTTGCTTCCTTCACATCTTGCCTGTCTGCAAGAGGATGATTGGAAATATGGGTCACTGGGAAAGGGCTGTACATACACTGTTTTACTTTTAAGCTTCACTATAGGCCTTGCTAGTGAGACAAGGCTTGGCTTTCATCAGCTGTGACTACTGCAGCTTTTCTGCTTTACTTCTGGTTCTCTTGGTGGTGGGAAGATGCCATGAGTGGAGTGCTGACCTGTAATGGGTATGTGTCCTTGGCATAGTGGTGGGTAGGCTCACCCACCCCACCTACTGCTGTTTTAAACTGGTCAGTGTGTCGGCACATGCTGGTAAGTAGCCTATTTCTATGTATGAATGTAGAACTTGCATGGAATTTTCTTTCAACTGCATCAGTGTGACTGTGAAATATTGTGCATTCATGTTGAAATTGCCTGCGAATAAAATACTATTCAGATTACTAGATACGTGTGCTAACTTGTGATGTCCCCCAGGCTGAGGCTCGGGCTGAGTTCGCCGAGAGGTCTGTGCAGAAGCTCCAGAAGGAGGTCGACAGGCTTGAAGGTATGTACTCGCATATTTTGACAACTGAACACCATGTACACTATACACACCACTGTCCAGTGTGCATGTACATGTGTCCTTGCCACCGTAGTGTGCACACGTGTGCTCACAAAAACCAAAGTACTCACATACACACAAACATACACTACCTTCGTCCATCATCCCTATACTTGTATATATCTTTTCTGTTACATTTGTTATTGACCTCATTGACTGCTACAGTTTTAAAATGACTCTAATGCATATTAATGTATAATCTCATAACTGCAGACTGTCCATTGTAATAATCGGTAATCTTGTCCTGGAAATTACATCCCAGTATTCTGTGCAGTATTCTTGAGCATTACCATGTTTGTAAGAAACTTTTCCCTTGCACGCTCCAAGTTGTTTATAACATGTACCCGTTATGGCCTTTGTTAGTGGTTCGTTATCTATTGAAGTAAATAAAATTAATTACTACAGTTTCACCATTAAAATTTTGCACGCCAGTCTTAAAAAAAAAAAAAAATAAATCTTCAACTAGTTGGCCTTGATAATTTTGAGTCGTTGGTTTCATTTGAAATATATTCTAATAACTATTGATAACTAGTTGACTTTTAATTTCTCGATGAAGTTATACCCTTCGGTACACACATTCACTACTGACAACATCTGTGATCGACTACGGCACTGCTATCACGTCCACACTCACAAAAATGTACAGCGCAAACGTCTGTTCTTCAGTCAAATTACCCAAATGGCACGTCAAGATGAATCTCACATCTATCATTGGCTTCTTTTTAGAATTGGCATTTAATCTATTGGCTGTTTTATTTCCTTACGCATCATCGCCAGTGCAATAATCCATGCCACTTCTGCAACGGATCAAGCTTATATTTTATTTTGCTTCTGTTCCAATTAGCAAGCAACTTTGGACTGTTGCCTCTCATAGCAGTGTCAGTGGCCGGGCCGCCGTGCTAACAGTTTGTGTCTACTCTTTCTTGTCGTGGTCGCCGAAAATTACAATCCTAAAGTCCTTGTAACCCTCCCCTTTTTAATTCCTCTCAATGTTTAATTATAAGTTTATTTTTTTCCTTGTTAATGATCTTCATACAGTATTATTTTCCTTTAAATCTTGTAATTATTGCACAATCTGTTTTATTTATTTTGGAATGATGGATAATTTTATTGTATAACTTTCAAAAACCCAATTTTGCATTGCTTAGTTAAAAAAAATGAAAGAGAAACTTTTGTGTTGAGGTGTTAGCTAGCCGTGCTGCAGCTTAGACTACTCTAGGTTAGATGAATTTAACTCCTGGCGCTGACCGTGCCTAGTAGTAGCCAGTGGACTGAGCCTTCCTGGGAGACCCATCCACTGCTTGTTGTCCTCATACAAGTTGGGTGGTGCCTCTAATAACTACCTGCCCCAACTCCTGCTCTCCAACTCACCCACGCTCATGTTGTGGGTGGGTGAGCAATGTAGAGGGCACAGGGTGAACTTCAGGTGACTGAGAAGACCACGTTGAACTCCAACAAGCAGTATGACCTAACAAGACCTGCCTCTTTCTCTATTTTTTTCCTTAAAATTCCCATTTTTTTTTTATTCCATATTTGTAATGTGCTAGTGTCCTGAGGTAGCCAGTGTGCAAAGAAAGCATCAGATGTAGTTGCCTAAGTTACTATGTAGAATGTAGTGCAGCAACACCACTTGGGGAGTAGTTTTTATTTAAAGTTTCTCCCTCTAATAAAGTCTGTTCCATAAGTGGTATTACTACGCTGCATTGGTGTCAACATTTCGCTTTCATCTACCAGTCTACTTACCTTGTGTAGTGCTGGCTGCAGGCCTGCCTCCCATGCCCATCCAATCTTCTACTCATCCTCTTCACCCCCCCCAGTCACTAGTAAACTCTTTCCCAGTTCCCTGGTAACCACTCTTCTGGTCCTGCTTAAGTCTTCATGTATAGTCATCACAGCAGACTTAAATAGACCTGTAACATCATAGGCTTTCAGCCTCTGTTATGTGCCTTTAGTATCCCAATCTTTATCCCTCTAGAATCACTACTAGAAGAGTTCTTGGCACATAACAGTGGATCTGTTGCATCTTTTAATGATCCATCTTTAAAGAAAGGATTTAACTGCAAAGACAATGCCTGGTGGATAGGCAGAAGATAGTAGCATCCAGGACCTGCTTTAAGGTTTAGTTTGGCACATAAGTAGTGTCTGGAGCCTTAAAGCTTGAGGAGGAGGGTTGGTACCATCTTGGGTAGACCAGCTGGTACTGCACTCCCACTCTGCATGCCCCCACAGGTATTTGTCCATTTTTACTGCTGGATATGGAACATTATTGAGTTCCTCCTTACTCTTCAGCTCTCACATGGGATATGCCAAGGATACCAAGAGAAGTCGGAGCCATTGCTTGGATTGTTCGATATGTGGACCAGGCGCGAAAAAAAATGGAATTTTTTCGGGTGGAATAAGTTACTTTTATCCTTCTGAATACAGTTACACTCCGACTTCACTTCACATGAACATACCTGATACCAAGATAAACCCAACCATGTTGAATTTATTTTTTAAAACTGCAAAAGTTGTCATTGATTAAAGCTAAAGTGCAATCAATAGTTGTGGTTTTTACTTGGTAAGTGGTATAAGATTGAGAGTGGTGAATCGTCGTGTTTAGTTAAATCCTGTCTTCTTATCCATTCCCCCAGTCCTACCCACTTCACATATACCATAACAAAGAGGAGCCTGAAGAATGGCTTACCTTACTCCATCCAATCTTGTCCCTCTTTGATTGGACTTGACTTGACCTTTCTCGTGAGCATATTGACTTAAATCTGACCTTTCGCTTAATTACAAGTGGCATAAGTTTCAGTTAATGTGATTAAACAAAAATCCTTTCAGTTTTTGCTTTGAATCGTCTTAAATTAAATATGGTGCTAGAAAATAGAATACAGTGATAATGTACACATATTGTCAGTCATCACAATGTAGTGTATTTACTACCATTAACTGAAACTGTGCACTACATTGCACCACCTGAACACACCACTGATGACCAAGCCTGAGTAAGACCAGGCTACCAATTTCTCTGCAGCAGTAATTAGTTAAGGTTTTGTTGAGCATGGTGTGCCTTTTATTTGTGTGCTTTAAAATTTGATTTTGATTATTTTTTTTTTTAGTTTTGGTTTGACTTTGTTTTGAGTTTATTTATACGTACAGTAATAGTTTAATTTTTTATTTCTTAACACTGCATGTGTGTGTTTTTGTGTCGTTTTGTTTGCAGACGATCTAGTTGCCGAGAAAGATAAGAGTAGGATGCTCCAGGCTGACATGGAGGCCACTCTACAGGACATCCAGAATATGTAAACATTACCCGAGGACCCGCTGGAGGAAGCAGAGTCACAGGTTGGCATTGTAACCCTCGCAAGTGCTCTCGCTGCCCGTTCTTTTCTTATGCTGCAGTTCTTTCAAAAAGGGATCGGTATCTAAACCTTTCCTTAATAAATCTATATTTTCTGAGTCTAGAAATTGGGTGCTTTGGCTTACTCTTGTCTTTGCTAATTTCTTTAATTTTTTCAGCGAGCTTAAACTTTTAGCACTTGATTAGATTTTTTAATGAAGAAGTATTGCGTGATTTTGTTACTTGACTATGAATTAAAATATCCAAACATCATACTTGGTACATCATGTAATATCTGTACATGTGTAGTAATATTTATGTTGTGGGTATAAATAGTAAAAACATTTTACCATTTTAGTTAAATTGCATTACTCCATTTTGTATCATAGCTTGATACCGTAAAGAAGTAAGGGGAATATAACTTGCGGGAGTGTAGGCTTTGACTTGTGATAATCTTGCTTCCTCCGGTTTAGACCGGGCTAAGTATAGAAAGGTTCCAGTGTATACCGGCATCTAGAAATTTTTCTGCCTTTAGACAGTGGTTTTGGCATGTTAACACAACACTCTGAAATACCTTTGTATAATAGGTCTTAATGTTAAAATTGATTGTTTGGCTAGCTGGTCATTGAAAGGTATTTTTGAGTGTTTCGGTATGAAGTTAATGCCACAGACCTATCAGTGTGATCACTAATAATCGATCTTTGCTAACATTGTACTTAGGTGATTCTCAACTATCATTATGCCAGTTGAACTACCACACATCTAAAGTACTGCATACACAGCCTTGTTGAGAATTGCCGTGGCACTTCAAAATTAATTAACCTTCCTTTCTTTCCATACTAACCAAAGTCTCTCCCACTCTCTCCCTTTCAGACGAACTTGTCATTCAGAAGGAGAGGTACAAGTCCATTACCGACGAACTGGATCAGACGTTCACCGAAATGTCTGGCTATTGAGCTGTCCACCCTGATGAATCTACTAAACTACTACTACTACTAGTCCATAACTACTCTGCTCTTACCCGCCACCACAACCACCATGATCGTTGCTCTGCTACCTGTCATCTACTTGTTACCCCCTTACTATTGCTAGTCACTAGTTGGTGAGGGTGTGGTTGCCTTACTTGTGCTATTTCCCAGACTATGTATATATATACTTATGGTATATATAGATGTAGTCTGCCCCACACCTCCAATTCTGCTTCTGCTGGAGGTCTTTATACAAACCATGGTGCAGCCAGACCAACACTATGAACACAGACAGAGGAAGGAAGCACACACAAGGCTTCTTCCTGCTAGGGTGTTCTTGCTGCTGGTTCTGGTGTCTTAACTCCCTGCAGCAGCAGAAATGGCAAAACCTCACCACTGCCCTAGCCTCGCCACTCCTTCTCCAGTTCCATGTCTGGGGGCCTGGCTGCCTCCTGTAATACTGCCAACTACCGGTCTTCTCTTAATAACTTGTAGTGCATTGTTGTAACAACTCGCCCTGATTTTGTAATGCTGTTCAGAAAGTAAGCTTTCACCTATGTAGATATAACATGTACAATTTTATACTTACAAATTCTTTTTATTTGATTCTGCTATTGTAAATAGGAGAAAGTGAGTAGGTGTTAATGTGTGTTGGGATGGTGTAAAGGTGTGGGTGGAAGATGACCCACTAGCCAGCAACTAGCTACTACTAGGGCGCCGCTCACGGTCATGGATATGATAGTAGTAGTTTAACAACACGCGGCGGCGGCGCTCAACTTCCCTTCTCACCTCAGTCGCCTTCAGCTTCTGGGAACTAACTCTTTTTGTTTTGGCCGTGTTAATTGACCTGTGTTTGTTAATCTCTACTTTGCAGACGAACTGGTTAACGAAAAGGAGAAGTACAAGTCCATTACCGACGAGCTGGACCAGACTTTCAGCGAACTGTCTGGCTACTAAACACTCTCTGCTCCAAACTGTTCTGCCATCTCTCTTCCTATGCCCTCAGCTGGCCTGTAACCTATTTTTTCACAAGCTTATGTAATTCAGTTTATAAGAACTCTTTTTACTTTCCTTCTTTTTATGTGTTGCATTTGACCTCCAGTTAAGTCAGTATCATCACTAAATCATTCGATAACGTTGGTTAAGTCTGCCATTGAGGTAATTTAAATGTTATTAAACTTAAATTTATTAAGAAACCTTGTTTTTGAAGTTAATTCAAAAAGCTAGGTTTCATGTACACTATGGCTTAATAACATACAGAAATAAATATTTATTATGAAAATGGATTTTGTTCTTGTTTTTCGCTCTAATCCCGATACGACCACGAGTAAAGAGATCTGAGAGCGAGTGGCCCTAAGATGATCCTAGGACCACTACTGCCACAACTAGCCAGTGGAATGCCTGTAAAATCTTTCACCCATCTATTACAGATGAACTTGTTAATGAGAAAGAAAAATATAAGAACATTGCGGATGAGATGGACCAGGCGTTCTCAGAATTGTCAGGATTCTAAGTGTGGCAAACTGGTGGGCGCCAACACGGTGCTTGGACGGGCGTATGTGTCCGTGGGTGTGTGGGCGGGGTGGTGCACTCCTTCCCCACCTGCGGCACGTTCACGCCTCTGCGGACTGACTTGACTGACGGCCGACGCGCCCCACATCACCACCACCACTACCAACAACGCCTGGCCCGCCACACTATCGTCCGCCGTGTATAAGGCCAAGCCCCAGAGGAACCGAGCCTCAATAAAGCCCACACCATACCTTGAGGGGAAACTGGGTTATATTGAAGCTCCGTACTCCCCAAGTAGATCACCTTCAATAATGCCCACGACCTATGTGGTAGCAAGCGTAATCGAGGCTTTGAGAGTCGTTGGGTTCTGACCACGTCTCTTGCTCTGCTACAGTATGTAAGGGTGCATAGGTTCACCTTCTTAACTAGAGTTGCAGTCAGTCTTTATGCGTCATGCATTTATTCTATATGGATTATCAATATGTTAATATTATTCAATTTTTAAATCTGGATCTTATACTTACAGAATGATTGTACACTGTGTTTAATGTGTAATAAATTTTGTAAACAGTCTTTGTTTTTGTTTCCTCAAACATTTTTACCATGTATTTTTTTAGGAGAATTTTTACTTACATAACATGGTATTACAGTTGAAGATAAATGGCTATTTGTCTGTAGAACACTAAAATAACACCTTTCATTAACAGACTAATGGGGATAGGGGGGTGTTCAGTAATGCCGCTTGTCTACAACTCTCGAATTGTGAAATTAATATTTTAGGATTGTCTGGTTGTCTTCTGAAGTAGTGGACTTAGTGTCTGGTTCACTTCTGCAACAGCAGACAGAATATGGGTATTGCAACCTGTATTATTACAGCCTGTTTTAGCTTAGTTTTGAATAAGAACACTGCACTTTTTCAGCTCATGTTTAGTTATCCCACATCTTTGAACCTTTAATTTCCATGAAATTTCTGTAAGTGTTCTATCGAACACAAGGGCTATCAAAGAGGAATTTGTTGCTGGTGTGATGTCTCTCTAAAATTTTCTAGGAATAGCCAAGTTCAGCATCAGTGTCACAGTGCAATGTTTTGAATGTGTGGATTGCTTGAAAAACTAGTTTTCAAGTTTGATCTGAACCAACAAATAACATAGCCCATGTGAAATGAAAATACACTACATTTGATCTTACAAACAATGGTAACTAGTCAAGAGGCATTATCACAAATGCAATATACTCTAATCACATCACAGTACAAACGTGTGTAAATTCAGGGGTGGAAAACTGAGAAATTCTTAGTGTAAGAAGGCGGCATGTTAATAAATTTAGCTTCAACAATTTGAGAATTGGCCAGAGCAAGATAAATAACCAGACAATAGCCTGGAGCTCCTAAATCTTCACTAGTTCTTTTATACACTGAATACAGATGTATACAAGGTCTCTATAAATGTGCATTGCTGAGGAAACCTAAAAGATCAAATATAGAAAATGTTCATGGGAAAGCATTAAGCCAGTAGGAAAGGTATGGTAGCTCCAACTGTTTGGATCAAGAGCCCTTCACTGGCATCAAGGCACCTCCCTCAAAGGGATTGGCAACAAAAGAGGATAGTTGGAAGCTATAATGCAGTCTGAATAAATATCTTGATCTCTGATATAAAATAGGTTTCTAGCACCTTGTAGGTTTAGTGCTTCTTTTTGATCATAAGTACTGAGACTACCAGATGACAGCAACTGTTGAAGGCAAATTTTCTGAACAATTATAATAAAAGAAGCACTAAACCTACAAGGGTCATACAGCCCTGAACTCCAAATCATGCTGAGTTCTCTAAATCATTCCATTGAGCTGTATAGTCCTTGTGGCTTAGCACTTCTTTTTGATTATAATAATAATTCCATTGAACACCATCAAGGCTGGGACTTCGCAAAAATGACGTGTGTGTACTGTAGATACAATGCAGCACTGACTGCAAAGGACAAAAATGCTATAATCAAAAGATTACAACAAATAATGAAGCACATATTTTAACATAGGTGTTTTAGTGGTTATTATTTGTATCTATTCGCTGCATTGCAAGCTCCCAGCCATAGTGCTGTATAGTCCTTGTGGCTTAGTGCTTCTTTTTGATTATAATAATAATAATCCCAGCCATAGTGAAGGTATAGCATCCCCCATGATGCAATTCACAAGTTGACTGACAATAAGGCATATATTTACTACTAGAGACCTTTCTAACTTTCCCTCTGTTGTCCTTTCCCACCCTTGCTACTCTATAATCCTGCACCATTCCCTGCCCTGCTATGCTGTATGACCCTTGTAGATTTAGCACTTCTTTTTTATATTATAATAATATTTACTGCTAGGTGTACATGGACAGCGGGTGTAAGATTTGCCCATACATTTCACCCTGCCTGATAATATAATTAATACATTAAGATTTTTTTGGTTACAAATCAAATATGTATAGTGATACTATACTCCAGTGTAACAGACTATAGAGGAAAAGGAGTTGTGTCTGCTTAAATGAAAATCCACTGCAGTGACTGGACTGGTACAGAGGAGTATGCTGCAGTAATGGACTACCAGACATGAACACATACCCAATGCAACAGACTTAGTCTGCTGCACTGCTGGCACTACTGGGTGTACTAAGAATAAACTAATACAGCAAAGTAAATTACAGTGCCTGAAAATAAAAGGTAAAACTTCTAAAAGTACAGTAGAACACAATAATTTTCCTTACCTTTTGTGCTGAATAGATGAGCTTATAGTAAGTATATTCCCATGCTGTCACAGGAGCTATAGATCTTCAGTAGTAACATCAAAGATGATATGGAAGATATACAGGTAGATGGTGTGGGGGAGACCGTTTGCTTTGCTACACCACATTCCCTACACACTCATGCCACTGAGACTCCCAACTCTACTTTCTTATTAGTTCAAGTTTCTGCTTAGCTCTCAAATTCACATGCTTCTTAGCACCATCACTTGCTGAAGAGGCCACTGTTAAAAACTATAAAGTACTTTATAAAAAAGTAGCAACACTGCAAATTCAGGGAAAATTGGAGACTGATATTTGCCCTGCTCACTCAAGAACAATGAAAACTGACAGGCTCTAGACATAGCCCATAAGGGACAAACCTGCATTGAAGTGGACCTGCTCTGCTTCATTGATAGTAGTTCCAGACGCCATCCATATGGAGAACCGCCTGATGCAGTAGATTTAGTTTGTTACATTAATAATTCTACTGGCAACCCCCATACAATGTTCTCAGATTTTGTCCGGCCAGATTTAATGGTCATTTTATCCAATACCCATTATATTGAGGTCTGTTTTATCAAGGCTTTATTTTAGCCACTGAGTTACAGGTCATCTTAATTTGCTCATAAAAGAAAATAGATCCTTAAAGCAGAGAGATGTCACTTTCATAGCCACTACAAAGAATTCTACAACAAATTATAAAGGGAAAGTAAAAACTGCAATACAGCCTCTCCTCATTTAATGACGGAGTTCTGTTCCTAAGACTACATTGGTAAATTAATGCATCGCTAAGTGAGGAGCATACTATAATGGTAGTGGGTTTGTCAGCCATCTTTCATATTGTTTTAATGTCACCTTTGCACCATTTATAATATTTCTGGTATATTTTTAAATGTTTATACAGCAGTGTACTGTATATTGTAATAGAGGAAATCAGCTCTAATATACATTATTTAGGTATGCAAACTGGTCAGAGAGCCCGTTGTAAGTCCGAGTCGTCGGTAAACAAGTACGTCGCTAAGTGAGGAGAGGCTGTATACAGACCATACCACGGACGGGAATAGAACCCGCGATCAGAGTCTCAAAACTCCAGACCGTCGCGTTAGCCACTGGGCCAGCTAGCCACAATAAGATTCATCCAACTAGGTATATTTATACACCATAGGCGCTGTATAGCCCTTGTGGCTTAGCGCTTCTTTTTGATTATAATAATAATATACACCATAGGAAGGTTAGCATAGGCACCACTGTGACCACAAATGCAAGTTTTTACAGACGAATCTCCAGCTAGCGTGGCCGTGATGAACTCTAGCTCATTACGATTTCGTGAGTCATGTTAACAGCTTTGAGGGGACCTGAGCTAGAGTTCATCACGGCCACGCTAGCTGGAGATTTGTCTGTAAAAACTTGCATTTGTGGTCACAGTGGTGCCTATGCTAACCTTCCTATGGTGTACAAATATACTTAGTTGGATGAATCTTATTGTGGCTAGCTGGCCCAGTGGCTAACGAGATGGTCTGGAGTTTTGAGACACTCTGATCGCGGGTTCTATTCCCGTCCGTGGTATGGTTTGTTTGCAATCGTGTCATTACGATTTCGTGAGTCATGCTGTATACAGTACTAGTCTTAAGAGTAAATCATATGTACCACAAACTTAGGGAGCACAAAAATGAAAACCAAGATGTTTGTATATTCTTTTTATTGAGTTTTCCAAGTTTCATGTTCTATAAAACAATACTGTAGAAAATTTCTTAAAAAATAAGTCATCTTACATGTGTGAGATAGAAGATTCAAGGAAATGAATCCCTCAGTAAAACCACAACTAGACAAGAGCACTCTTGACCCAAACATGACAGTATTTCATGACTAATTTCCCTCACTTCACTACTTTATCTCATGTTGATACTTTCTGTCTCACATCACTTCTCATCTTTCATTGTTAACCAGTAAAAGAAATATAGTATTAAAGCCACATATAATGCCCAATATCCATAATAAACTCTCCCCCTCCCTTTATTTGTACCTAGTAATTAAAATGTGGATGAAAATAACACTCAAATCAGTCATGTAAAGCACCATTATGATTGGCCAGTAACAGGATGGGTGATCGCATGGACAGTCTTGACACTGACAAGGAAACAAACAGGCCAACTAATAGCTTTTGTCCCTGATAAGGTACACAAACTTGATACTTATATATTTACAAACACAAATGCTTGTATTCTGGAAAATTTCTAAATTCAGATATACAGTACTACCCTCTTAAAATATAATAAGAGTTTTGCACTGCAGTGAGGAAATTGTTAATTTTCAGAATTTGTAAGTATTGCTGGTTAAAAAAAAATGTCCCTAGTATAATTGAACTATCGTATAAGTAATATAGCGAGGGACAAGGATATGTCTCTACACAATTTGGCTATGGATCCTTTCATTCAGACATTTAATGCTTCAAAAATGATCTCCAATAAACCCGTTATACACACTAGTTGGCCTTGCCACCCTCTAAGAGGTACAGTAATTGGACATGTAGATCCAATACATTTTATTTATATACATACATATATTTTTCAACACACTGGTCATCTCCCACCAAGACAGGGTAATCCAAAAAAGAAAAATACTTTCACCATCATTCACACACAATCACTGTCTTTGAAGAGGAGCGAGCAGATACGACAGTTCATATGTTGCTCCAAATAGCAAATATCCCAAACCCCTCCTTTCAAGTGCAGGCAATGTGCTTTCCACCTCCAGGACTCAAGCCCAGCTAACCAGTTTCCCTGCTCGTCAGGTCCCAAAAACCATTTGCCTCCACTCACTCCTAACACTTTCATATGAGCGCAAGGCATGGGTTTTGAATGCTGCAGCAAGGAGGCCAGAGACAGTGGGGACCTCATGTTTGAGAGCAATGTATGGTATGACTATCATGCAGAGGGCTGAGGAGGGGATGTTTGGACATGTAGAGAGGTTAATGAAGAAGGTGCATAAATTTGGGGTGGGAGGGATAGGGGGGTCATCATAGGAAAAAAAGAAACTGAAATTAAGGGCTTGAGCATCAAGGAGATAACTGGTTTTTAATGGAAGTGCTGGAGTATAAGCAAGGTAGCTTTTATAAAGGGATTCAGAGAAACCAATTAGCCAAATATGAGTTCTGGAGGTGGTTAAAGCAGCACCTGCACACTAGAGGGGTGATGTTGTAAACAGAGGGTAATCTGACTGTGATTTCAGCTAACTTTTGGAAAGATGGCAACTGAATAAACTGTGATGGATGTCTTTTCTTCTGTGTAACCCCGTCTCGGCAGGAGATAAACATGGAGTTAAAAATATATAAATTAATGAATGTACTCACCTATATGTGGCTGAAGGGGTTTGCAGGAAGTGTGGGGGGTAGGGTGATGGGCAGGGTGGGGGTGGGGTGGAGTGTGTATGAGGAGGAAAAAAAAAAAAAAAAAAAATCAGTCGTGTTTTGCGAGAAATTGTTAGGTTAAGCAAATGACACTAGTAAGCTTTTTACCAAGGTAGAAGTAATAACATTTGTTTTTTATTCATATTTAAATGGATTCCTATTATTATTATAATCAAAAAGAAGCGCTAAGCCACAAGGACTATACAGCTCAATGGATTCCTAGAACTGTGAGCAAATGATCACTAACTTTGATGTAAAATTCTGGCTTGGTTCAAAGATTTTACAATACTAATTCCTTTTTTGTTAATAGAAGGGCAAAACTCTGCAGTTATCTTTGACCTTAAGAATTTCTGAATTAAGTTTCATGTTGTCTCAAAGCAGACAAGTGCTATGGCTTATGGCCTATGGGTCTGACTTGGGAATATTATCAAGTTAGATCAAGTCAAAAGTGATTTCGTGTGTTACCATAATTTAAAACTTCCACAGATTTTATTAACAAATGTATCTAGCTTACAGGTGTTGAACCTTCCTTCAGTTATACTCAGCACTTACTTTTATTATCCTTTCTGTCTCTATTTTTTCAACCATTAATTTGCATGCAACAATTTTCTTAAGTAAATAAATAAGAAATCTGAATCTTGATCAAATCTATGTTGATTGAAATGCATTTATACATCCTCATCAAATATTATAAATAAGGAACCTATTGCTGATTTTCTTCACCAATTTCTTGAGAATGTAATGAATAAAAGGAAAATGCTTATAACTTGTAATAAACACCAGTCAATATCACAACTGAACACAGTAAAAACACAACATGAGACAAGTACTGCACATTTCAGCCCAACACAGAGACTATCTTCAGATGATTAAAAAGTGTACAAGGAATGAAGGTAATATACAATGGCAGGTTATATGCCTTAAGGAATGTGAAGGAGCAAATAACTCAAGGATACAGGTAATTATAGCATCAGATTTTCCCTCATAGTTGTTGAAATTGGAATGTGATGCAATTATAGTTACTTCAAGAATCTTCTATTTATAAATATAATTTGTTCTCTATCTAGTTATTATGAATATAGTTCTCAGCATGGTATAGAATCATAACTATAATATTAATTTGGCTGTTTCTATTATGTTGAGCCAATTATACATATGAAACCAATATGCTCAAGTTGGCTATGATTGCATTGTGACCCAATTTCAACAGTTCAAAAGACCAATGGAAATCAGATACTATAATACTCATGCCTGTAAGCCACTTGTTCCTGCATCTGACTTAGTTATGTGACCTGCCTTTGTATACAAGCTTCAGCCCTTGTATTTCATTATGCTGAAGAGGGCCAAAATATAGTGTCACTTATTTTCTGGGTTTCTCTGTCATATATATTTTATATTTATATACATATAATGCAAGTATACGCCTCTCAAAAAATAACTTCTTGAAACCCGCCAAAAGTAAATTCATATCAGCAGTACTGTTAACTCTCAGTGTTTAACCCCTAAACGGTCCAAACATATATATACGTTCTCTTCCTCAGTGCCCCGAATATTTTGAAAAATAAAAAAATTGTTTCTTTCATTGAAATAGAGAAAAATTTTCTAAGTGTTACAGGATTAAAATAAAAAAATTAGGGTCAGTATTTACTGAGATATGAGGCTGCAAAGTTGGCACTTAATGCTCACCTGACGGCAACAATGAGCCCTGCCACTTGAGAAAGTGTTGCCGATATGCCTTTTTTTTCTCATTTCTATATTATTTTATAAAATTTTTATGTTCTGATAATGACAATTTATTGCAGTTCTTGGCATTTCATAACCAATTTTTGTTCTGGCACTAACCCTTTCAGAGTCCAAGGCCAAAATCTGAAGTGGTGCCCCAGTGTCCAAGAATTTTCAAAAAAAAAAAAATTTTTATTTTTTCTTATGAAATGATAGAGAATCTTTTTGTGAATGTAATAAAACAAAAAGTATGAAATTTGATGGAAAATTGACGAAATTATGCTCTCGTGAATTTTGATGTGTCAGCGATATTTACGAATCGGCGATTTTGCCGACTTTGACTCCCATTTTAGGTCAATTACATTATTCCAGTCGACCAAGTTCTTAGCTATTTCACTAGTATTACTTCTATTCTATCGATTGAGCACAAGAAATCGCCAAGTCAACTGTTTCAACTACAAAATAAAGTGACCGGAAATTGGTGATTTGGCCAATTTAACACAAAGTTCAAAATATTCCAATTTCAAAATAGGGTCCAGAATAAACAATGTAGGTATTCCTGGCACTAAACTACCATTTCCTCTGTTCATTAGTTATGTTTTGAAGCTTTACAAATGAATTCCATTTTGATTTTTTATTCACATAATGAATTTTTATTCACACCAAAAATAGAAGATTTATTGTTATGCAATATTGTAATAATTGTATAAATATCATCACCATATTTGTGAATGTATATTAGACCCACCAGCTGACGTGTATTAGACGTGTGAGGTCGTTTGTTTACTCTTGAACATCGGCAAAAATTTAACATTTCCGCCACTTTGAGCTCAGTTTCAAGCCATTTCCAGTGCTAAAACCAATCAAAATTATCTCTATTTCTGTAATATTTCTTCCATTCTATCAAATGAGACCAAGAAATCACAAATACAACTATAAAAAACATACGAAAAAACACTACAAATTCGCTGTTTTAATCGAAAATCACGGTCTCAGTTTTTTTTTATCTCATTATACACAGTGTGCTGCAGGATTTGTTTTATGTGGTGCACACATACCACATAGTTGTATTCTCACATATCTAGGCCCAAATTTACCACTCACAGTTTATCAGAGTGAGCTGAGCTCATGACGTAGATCTACGGTTTGGACACTGAACGTAAAGCCGTAGATCTACGGGACGGACCCTGAAAGGGCTAATATTAGGTACTGAAATTGTACTCAGATTGTCACAAACACATTGACAGTCATTTACTATTGCCTAGGAATATACACAAGTATTTATAGGTCCCAGCAATGTTTTGGATACATGGGAGTATAGAAGAAGGAGGAGGAGGAGGAAGAAGGAAGAAGTATAATTGTATGTGTGTGTACCTGTGAGACAGATAAAGAGAGATAGAGACAGAGACAGAGATAGACAGACCCTAAACTTGGGGTTAACATCACTTTCCTCTTAAAAGGGGAGTGTTAATATGATATTACATCAGTGAATCCTTGGTGTTTGCTGCACTGTTTGCTCGAGCTGGCACTCAATTTAACTGGTGCTCCCACAAGGTACTAAGCAGTCCCAGATTTTTTTAATATGGTGCACACCGAGTGCTAAGACCCATTCTATGCTGACTAGGCATCTCAGGCCAATCGTGCCAAATTTGGAGGCAGAAAAATTAAAACGTATATATACGTTTGGGGCGCTAGCGATAAGAACGTATATGTACATTTGGATCGTTTAGGGGTTAAAAAAAAAAAAAAAAAAAAGCTAAGAAATGACAGGCAAAGAAACAGAGCAACAATCATAATGCCAACACTTAGAATTCTGGATGGAGTCCCTTGAGTCTTCGCATCATATACACTAACTTATTTCTAACTGCACTGAATACATTTATGTTACAAAAAGTTGTAGGTTAACTAATTCTTGAGGTTATACCTAGCACTTTCTCTTCTCAAGTTTCTTCCAACAATTTGCCTATTTAAAGAAAAAGTACTTACATCAGACTGAAATTCCAGTAAACAAACACTGCATTCATCAGTTTGTAGGTGTGGAAAAGAAAATTGTAATGACACTATAAAAAGTTCTAGATATTCCAGTAATTTTCAAGTTAAATAATCATTTATCACTTGTTTATTGGTTCAGCTTATTTCCAAAACTTTCATTTAAAATATACACAACAAAGTATTGAAAGTAATGGAATGCAAATATAAACAAAGACTTTTTCAATTAACAAACAGCAGAGACCTAAATCTTCAGCCAGACTGCCAATAGTTACCAATCTTTATTTTAAAAAACTGTACACAGATTGATTCCAACTTGCAGTGTTTTCTAGTATTGCTCTTCCGCAATCATAAATTTTTAGAAGAGGTGCTTTCCACAAGCATACATTTTTCTTAAATACATGTACACTTTAAAAAGTCACTTATAGCTCTAGAGTCCAGATGGCATAACACCAAGATTTAGTAATTAACACTAACAGATCACCAAGTTTGTCCTCACCACACATTGTTACATAACTTTCCGGTGATACTCTGGCGGCGCTACTCCATAGTCTTGGATACTGTAATACGTCTCCATATTTTTCACTGTAAATCTGTAAATTAATTTTTTTACCACATTGGCAGTAACAGTCTTGTAAGTAATTTCATTTTTGCCTTTAACTTACATCTTATTTTAAGCATGTAATCAGAGATGATGATACACACTTTAGAATTATTCAAGAAATTTTTCAAATGCTACTGATTTTATTTCTTAACACTTGCAAAGGAGAGTGAATTATGAAAAGAAGACCTTAAATGGTGACCCCTAGGAGAAAAGAAATTTCCAGGCAAGGCATAACATCAAGGTACGACAACCTGAAAATTAAAGCTGATACGTTTCTTATCAGGGTAACAAAAGTAATAAAGCTAAACATTCATTAACAGACGAGTTAAAACAGAGCACATACCTTAAGAAGTCCTGTAAGTGGAAATTTAGAAGTGTAACACTCTTTTCATCAAGCTGAGTATAAGCCAACATTTGTCCTAGTCGAACTGTATGGGAATATAAAATTTCATTGATTTAATAAACAAAAGCTTGTATCAAGAGAGGGTAGCCTTCAGATTTTCATAATCCTTTTAGTAACAAAATTGATTTAGCAAGAAAATGAAGGTATGCATCTATAGTTATAAATTCAGGACAAATTTAGAAGAACAGACATGTACAACTATTAAAAATGAGATGAAGAGGGAGGAATCTTGCAGATTCAAATTGTCATCATACTGATCAAGCATGTTACTTACTACACTACAGGTATTAATAAATCCTAAAAGCTCTTACATGGTTTAATGGACTGGCATTCTGTTGTCATAAATCACATTTTAGAAAAAAAAATAAAAGCAAAAACCATATGCCATATTATACTAAAACCACTTTATTTCCTATACGAGTGACATAAAACAAACTGCTTCTTACCGAACAATCTAATCAGATGGATGAAACCATAAATATCACTGGCTTGTTTGTTCTTATTTTGTTGCAAAACTTCTGCATACTGTGGTCTTTCAAATTTGTAAAGTAGCTGTGTGCCAAGCATCACGTTAAAATATTCCTTCAAACCAGCAACAACTTCTTGAACTGCACTCTCTCTGATGGAAAAAAAATAATTAGTTTTCATTCCTCTACACCTCTAGCCACCTCTTTATATAATATAATAGGTTGGTAGACAGCAACCACCCAGGGAGGTACTACCGTCCTGCCAAGTGAGTGTAAAACGAAAGCCTGTAATTGTTTTACATGATGGTACGATTGCTGGTGTCTTTTGTCTGTCTCATAAATATGCAAGATTACAGGTCTTGCTACTTCTACTTACACTTAGGTCACACTACACATACATGTATACGTTTATTTATACACACTCATCTGAGTTTTCTTTGATTTTATCTTAATAGTTCTTGGTCTTATTACTTTTCCTTTTATATCCATGGGGAAGTGGAATAAGAATCTTTCCTCCGTAAGCCATGCGTGTTGTAAAAGTCAACTAAAATGCCGGGAACAATGGGCTAGTAACCCCTTTTCCTGTAAAGATTACTAAAAAGAATAAGAAGAAGAAAATTGTCAAAGTGGGAAGTCTGAATGTGCGTGGATGTTGTGCAAATGATAAGAAAGAGATGATTGTGGATGTTTATGAATGAGAAGAAGCTGGATGTCCTGGCTTTAAGTGAAACAAAGCTGAAGGGGGTGGGAGAGTTTTCAATGGAGAGGAATAAATGGGATTAGGTCAGGGTTTCAAATAGAGTTAGAGCTAAAGAGGGAGTAGCAATAATGTTGAAGGATAAGCTATGGCAGGAAAAGAGGGACTATAAATGTATTAATTCAAGGATTATGTGGAGTAAAACAAAGATTGGATGTGAAAAGTGGGTTATAATAAGCGTGTATGCACCTGGAGAAGAGAGAACTGTAGAGGAGAGAGAGAGATTTTGGGAAATGTTGAGTGAATGTGTGAGGAGTTTTGAATCAAGTGTGAGAGTAATGGTGGTTGGGGATTTCAATGCTAAAGTGGGTAAAAATGTTATGGAGGGAGTAGTAGGTAAATTTGGGGTGCCAGGGGTAAATGTAAATGGGGAGCCTTTAATTGAGCTATGTGTAGAAAGAGATTTGGTAATAAGTAATACATATTTTATGAAAAAGAGGATAAGTAAATATACAAGGTATGATGTAGCACATAATGAAAGTAGTTTATTAGATTATGTATTGGTGGATAAAAGGTTGATGGGTAGGCTCCAGGATGTACACGTTTATAGAGGAGCAACTGATATATCGGATCATTATTTAGTTGTAGCTACAGTTAGAGTAAGAGGTAGATGGGAAAAGAGGAAGGTGGCAACAACAAGTAAGAGGGAGGTGAAAGTGTATAAACTAAGGGAGGAGGAAGTTCGGGTGAGATATAAGCGACTATTGGCAGAAAGGTGGGCTAGTGCAAAGATGAGTAGTGGGGGGGTTGAAGAGGGTTGGAATAGTTTTAAAAATGCAGTAATAGAATGTGGGGCAGAAGTTTGTGGTTATAGGAGGGTGGAGGCAGGAGGAAAGAGGAGTGATTGGTGGAATGATGAAGTAAAGAGTGTGATAAAAGAGAAAAAGGTAGCTTATGAGAGGTTTTTACAAAGCAGAAGTGTTATAAGAAGAGCAGAGTATATGGAGAGTAAAAGAAAGGTGAAGAGAGTGGTGCGAGAGTGCAAAAGGAGAGCAGATGATAGTGTGGGAGAGGCACTGTCAAGAAATTTTAATGAAAATAAGAAAAAATTTTGGAGTGAGTTAAACAAGTTAAGAAAGCCTAGGGAAAGTATGAATTTGTCAGTTAAAAACACAGTAGGGGAGTTAGTAGATGGGGAGATGGAGGTATTAGGTAGATGGCGAGAATATTTTGAGGAACTTTTAAATGTTAAGGAAGAAAGAGAGGCGGTAATTTCATGCACTGGTCAGGGAGGTATACCATCTTTTAGGAGTGAAGAAGAGCAGAATGTAAGTGTGGGGGAGGTACGTGAGGCATTACATAGAATGAAAGGGGGTAAAGCAGCTGGAACTAATGGGATCATGACAGAAATGTTAAAAGCAGGGGGGAATATGTAGTGTTGGAGTGGTTGGTACTTTTGTTTAATAAATGTATGAAAGAGGGGAAGGTACCTAGGGATTGGCAGAGAGCATGTATAGTCCCTTTATATAAAGGGAAAGGGGACAAAAGAGATTGTAAAAATTATAGAGGAATAAGTTTACTAAGTATACCAGGAAAAGTGTACGGTAGGGTTATAATTGAAAGAATTAGAGGCAAGACAGAATGTAGGATTGCGGATGAGCAAGGAGGTTTCAGAGTGGGTAGGGGATGTGTAGATCAAGTGTTTACATTGAAGCATATATGTGAACAGTATTTAGATAAAGGTAGGGAAGTTTTTATTGCATTTATGGATTTAGAAAAGGCATATGATAAGAGTGGATAGAGGAGCAATGTGGCAGATGTTGCAAGTATATGGAATAGGTGGTAAGTTATTAAATGCTGTGAAGAGTTTTTATGAGGATAGTGAGGCTCAGGTTAGGGTGTGTAGAAGAGAGGGAGACTACTTCCCGGTAAAAGTAGGTCTTAGATAGGGATGTGTAATGTCGCCATGGTTGTTTAATATATTTATAGATGGGGTTGTAAAGGAAGTAAATGCTAGGGTGTTCGGGAGAGGGGTGGGATTAAATTTTGGGGAATCAAATTCAAAACAGGAATTGACACAGTTACTTTTTGCTGATGATACTGTGCTTATGGGAGATTCTAAAGAAAAATTGCCAAGGTTAGTGGATGAGTTAGGGAATGTGTGTAAAGGTAGAAAGTTGAAAGTGAACATAGAAAAGAGTAAGGTGATGAGGGTATCAAGTGATTTAGATAAAGAAAAATTGGATATCAAATTGGAGAGGAGGAGTATGGAAGAAGTGAATGTTTTCAGATACTTGGGAGTTGATGTGTCGGCGGATGGATTTATGAAGGATGAGGTTAATCATAGAATTGATGAGGGAAAAAAGGTGAGTGATGCGTTGAGGTATATGTGGAGTCCATAAACGTTATCTATGGAGGCAAAGAAGGGAATGTATGAAAGTATAGTAGTACCAACACTCTTATATGGGTGTGAAGCTTGGGTGGTAAATGCAGCAGCGAGGAGACGGTTGGAGGCAGTGGAGATGTCCTGTTTAAGGGCAATGTGTGGTGTAAATATTATGCAGAAAATTCGGAGTGTGGAAATTAGGAAAAGGTGTGGAGTTAATAAAAGTATTAGTCAGAGGGCAAGAGAGGGGTTGTTGAGGTGGTTTGGTCATTTAGAGAAAATGGATCAAAGTAGAATGACATGGAAAGCATAAAAAACTATAGGGGAAGGAAGGCGGGGTAGGGGTCGTCCTCGAAAGGGTTGGAGAGAGGGGGTAAAGGAGATTTTGTGGGCGAGGGGCTTGGACTTCCAGCAAGCGTGCGTGAGCATGTTAGATAGGAGTGAATGGAGACGAATGGTACTTGGGACCTGACGATCTGTTGGAGTGTGAGCAGGGTAATATTTAGTGAAGGGATTCAGGGAAACCGGTTATTTTCATATAGTCGGACTTGAGTCCTGGAAATGGGAAGTACAATGCCTGCACTGTTAACCCTTTGACTGTCGAAGGGCCAAATCCTGAAGTTGCTTCTGGTGTCGCAAAATTTTCGAAAAAAAAAAAAAATTATTTTTTCTTATGAAATGATAGAGAATCTTTTCCCGATTGTAAAGACACCAAAAAAACGAAATTTGATGGAAAACTGATGTAATTACGCTCTCGCGAAGTTAGCGACTTCGGCGATATTTAAAAATCGGCAATTTCGCCCACTTTGAGCCCTATTTTCGGCTAATTCCGTTATTCCAGTCAACCAAACTCATAACTATTTCTTCAGAACTCTATTTTTTCTATCGATTGAGTACAAGAAACTGCCCATTTACCGATTTCAACTACCCAATAACATGGTCAGAAATTTGCAATTTGGCCAATTTCACGAAAATTAAAAAATACGACAATTTCAAAATAAGGTCCAGAATGAACAATGCAGACATTCCTGGCTCTAAAATAACATTTTCTTTGTTCATCAGTCATGTCTCCAGGTCCCTGTGATATTACTCTTGCTTTTTATTTTGAAATTTTATTCAAACAAAAAATAGAAGATTTACTGTTATGCAGACTACTGCAATACTGTAATAATTGTAAAAATTACATCAACCCATTCATGACTGCGTATTAGAATGGCTATTTGGACATTTATTGGACAATGACATCATTTGTTTACTTTTGAACATCGGCAAAAATCAAACATTTCCTGTACTTTGTGCTCCATTTCCAGGTTCTTTTTATAGTAAAATTAATCAAAATCACCTCCATTTCTATAATATAGTTTCCATTCTATCAAATGAGACCAAGAAAACGAGAATACAACCACAAATACTATACGAAAATAGACCACAAAGTCGGCATTTTAATTAAAAAAAACGGTCGGAGTTTTTTTTTTCTCATTATGCACTGCGTGCTCCAGGATTTTTTTTATGTGGTGCACACTGACCACACAGACCCATTCTCTCACATGTGGGCCTACTAGCTTTCTCCTGCCTGATTTGAAGCCGCTAGAATTTATGAGTATATATACGTCAAACACGGTACCTCGCAAACGTATATATACGGCCGCGACAGTCAAAGGGTTAAAGGAGGGGTTTGGGATATTGGCAGTTTGGAGGGATATGTTGTGTATCTTTATACGTATATGCTTCTAAACTGTTGTATTCTGAGCACCTCTGCAAAAACAGTGATAATGTGCGAGTGTGGTGAAAGTGTTGAATGATGATGAAAGTATTTTCTTTTTGGGGATTTTCGTTCTTTTTTGGGTCACCCTGCCTCGGTGGGAGACGACCGACTTGTTGAAAAAAAAATAATAATAATAATAAAAATAAATGCTCAGTGCTGCACAGCATTCTTATACATGTACATACATACTTTCCTAAACTTACATATTAATCAATAAATCTTCCACAGCCACAGCCAGGCCATTATAACTTCAATTATAAAATTACACTATATATGTAAAGTATAGTATGCTATTTTCATTTATCATTTTTCCCATCAATAATTCATTTCATAATAAACTCAAGATAATAATTCAAGTCACCACAATTAAGTTTGCATAGTTGTCCATTTGCAAGGGGCTAGTAACCCCTTCTCCTGTATATATTACTAAATGTAAAAGGAGAAACTTACAGTTTTCCTTTTGGGCCACCCCGCCTCGGTGGGATACGGCCGGTGTATTGAAAGAAAAAAAAAGAGGTTGTCCATTTGTCTTTTGCTAGTTATTTTCCTTTAATGTTAGTAGCAAAAGACTACATAGAAAATAAAAAAAAAATAGTGGATAAAAACCACTTCACAAAAATGTAATGAAAGCCACAAATCCTTATTCTCTGGCATGAGCACAAGCTTCTCCCATTACATTAATGTAATTATTATTATTATTAAATGGCAAGCACTAAACCAATAAGGGTCATACAGCACATGGGAAATGAATGGTGATCAAACATGATTCAAGGAAGAGGAGGGTAACTTCCCTTCCTTGGATTAAGAGCCCCTCATCAGCACTGAGGCTCCTCCTTGAAGGTTTACACAAAAAACTCTCCTATTTTCTGCTTTGTATTACTGTATCTTATAAGCTAACTTCATCCTTTGTAAATGCAAGAGTTGAATAAAAAAATGAAACCACTTTAGCAAGTAACAACTTCAGTTACCAACCACAAAAAAAAAAAAATTATTATTTTTGCATCTTACTTGTTTGGGGTGCTATTTTTGTTATTTGTTTTAGCTCGAACGTAATCGGCAAGGATGGTGTTAACTGTTACTCGAGCTGGGATAACAGCAAGCTTGCGCTGACGGCTTATGAGATCCCAGTCGTCCACCAGTGCCGGTTTAAGTTCGTCTGGCAGTTTCACCCGTACCTCTACTGCTGTCATAAACTGCTCTTCCTAGTAAATCAAAATGACAGTAGTAATTAACCATGGTAGTAAAAGCCTGCATGTCTAAATACTGTAATATACTTCAATGCTCAATTCTAAGAGAAGTACAGTACTGTAATACAGTAATATCTCTTATAAATAAACTGCATCACTAAATGCTCTAACAGTGTCCCAATGTTACTTTTAAGCAGCATGTGTAAATTATAAAGTAAAAGTGGAACTCATACTTAACTGATATTAGTGAGAAAAGTTCAACAGAGAAGGAAACTTTTATACTCTCCTGGTCTGTGTGCCATAGTCTGTGTTTTGGGAAACAGATGAAGACCAATACTCTTTTATAAAATGTGAAGAATCAAACTAAACGTGACATTGTTTGAACCTCTTTCCTTTTCTCATTTAGTTGTATCAACTGACCTGGAAATATTTTATTAGGCAAAACCTCAAGGCATGTTGAAGGGGATTTTAAGTGACAACACAAATCATATACTGTCAAATTCCTAAATTTGCAGCCTTCCTAATTCTTATGTTTTGAATATCCAACAATTTTACTGAGGGGAGATCCTTTGAATGTTTCTGATTATTCACAGTGCCTATTTTTGGCAGCTTGGCATGCAGCTCCTAAATTGAAAGCCATGGGATATAGCTCAAAATGTGTTCAATGTTTTTCCTATGTCCAATTTTCTTTTCTATCTTATGATATTTCTTATGAATGCCAACATCACTGAGGCTAAATCAACATTTGAAGATATACAAAATGAGCCCAAATCTGAAACAAAATTAATTATACAGACAGAATTTAGTAGTACAGAAATAACCTGCGCATAAGAGAGAGAAGTTTACAATGGCATTTCAGTCCGACTTGGACCATTTACAAAGTGTGACTTTGTAAATGGCAAAAGTCGGACTCAAACATCATAAACTTCTCTCTCCTATGTGTGGGCTATTTGTGTATTGTTCCAGTCAGAGTATTGTGCCTTTCTTGTTCAGAATTTAGTAGTATTTATGGATTTTGAATCTGATAGGACCTCTAGGAACTTAAACCTCACAAATATAAGGGGCTCGGTTGTACTGTATACTGGCGTCAAATTGCACCTAAGACTGCACATTCCCTCTTATCTCTGTGAACATTTAAGCTTTATCTTAATTTTATTTAAGGTAAACAAGATGTTCTGATGCATCTGTATAAGAATTTCGGGTCCAATTCATTTCCTAATTTACTGTCTTGCTAAATTTCCAGCAAAATAAATGTAGAACAGATATGTATAACACAACCACAAGAAAGACTTACAGAGAATATTTATGATGAAAACAGGTTCAGAATTTGTATCATTTGTAAAGCAGAGAGATGTGTTTTTGGAAAAGGAATTGAAAAGTGTATACGTATTTAAAACGGAGGAAACCCCCATGGTAGGAAGGACAAATAAGAATTTGTTAGTAAAATTAAAGAGGTACATAAAGGTACTGTACTGTATAAGGACCTGAAGGCAGGGACTGAAGGAGCAACAATGGAAACCACCTGATCAGCCAACATCAGTAAGAATTCTGTAAGCTGCAAAATCAGAGAGGTCAAGAAAATTAATAAAATAATGAGCCAATGGATATCATGGTGATTTCATAAGGGACTTTAGATATAGAATACTGTACAGGCTTTCAACAGGGAATGGCTAAAAGGCCACCAGACAATTATTATTATTGACAGGGAGTATAATTCAGACTGGAAATAAAACCTGTAGATGCAGAAGAAAGTCCCCATAGTTTACGTTGGATAAGACCAAGGTAAAATGAAGACTGAGAAGAATTTACCTAAATAATTGCTCCCCAAGAAAAATAAGACAATGTTTGAATAAATTTAACCTTACAATAATATGTGAGGTTTCCACAAAAATCGACAACACTAGAGGAAGATGAGAAATTTGCCAGAATGTTAGGCTGTAATTGAATAAATATACAGGAATAGCATGGGGTGGCAGATGGTGGACACCATGTGAATACTACTAGAAAATGTTCTGCAGGAAAAGTACTGTATAGTCTAGAAAATTTGAAGCCAGGTGATGAAGTAAAACCAAAATTAGTCAACAGCATGTTGTAATGAGGTGCCCACTAATGAATATACATACCAACATTGAATGATGTTATCTTTGATTTTAAATGAGGTAATCTAATAAGCCAGCGGAAGGCCTTTGTCAGATGACCAAAAAGCTCCAGTTAATGGATCATCATATGACTATGACCCATGTCAGGAAACAACTGCCCTGTTTCCTAACAAATCTACCAGATCTAACCAACTGACTGCTCCAATGCAAGCAATAGTGAAAGCATCAATATGGAGGAAAAATCAACTCCCACAAGTTAAAAGAGTAGCAAGTGTATATACTGCTATAAGAAAGGAAATGAGGTGTGCTGGGCCAAAGATTGGACCTGGAATAGGATATTATATTACCCGGTGGTGTCATAGGTTTTCTCTAATAAATGACTATCTGCAAAGACAAATGTGTGTGTGTCTGGATAGTTAACTACACTCAAATTCAGAAAAAACTTGGAACCTACATGATCATTGAATCAGCAGCAAATGATACATGGTTGCTGGTAATGGAGTGTGAAATATGAATTCACGTGCTTAAGGGGAAATTAAAAAATACAGCCTCTCCTCACTTAACGATGGAGTTCCATTTCCGAGACCACGTCATTAACCCTTTGAGGGTCGACAGGCCCTCTCCGAAACTCGTTCTCAGGGTCGGCCAAATTTAAAAAAAAAAAAAAATTATTTTTTCTTATGAAAAGATAGAGAATCTTTTCCCGATCATAAAGACACCAAAAGTTTGAAATTTGATAGAAAACTCACGGAATTATGCTCTCGCAAAGTTAGCGGTCTCGGCGATGTTTACGCATCGGCGATTTTGCCCACTTTGAGCCCCATTTTCGGCCAATTTCCATGTCCTAGTCGACAAAAAACATGAATATTTCGCTAGAACTCCATTTTTTCTATCGAATGGGTGCAAGAAACCAACTCATTTATGAAATACAACTATCTACAGTGGTCAGAATTTAGCAATTTTGCCAATTTCACAACAAATTCAAAAAAATGCCAATTCCGATAGGTCCAGAATAAACAAGAAAGACATTCCTGGCACTAAAATGACATTTCCTCTAGTCATTATTCACGTCTCAAGGCCCCTCTTATATTCTTTTGCTTCCACTTTGAATTTTTATTTTCACAAAAAATATATAAGATTTACTGTTATGCAGACTACTGCATTAGTGTAAAAAATGGTAAATATATTGGTGCCTTGTGAAAGAATATTAGACTCACCAGTTGACGTGTATTGCAACGCTTGGCACGATTTGTTTACTTTTGAAGTTTGGTAAAATCGAACATTTCTGCTACTTTGAGCTCAATTCAGGCACCTTTCTTTGTAAAACCAGTCAAAAATCATCTCTATTTCTGTAATATGTCTTCCATTCTATAAAATGAACCAAGAAACTAGAATACAACAATAAATACAATACGAAAATACACTGCAAAGTCGCTGATTTATTAAAAAAAAATGGTCAAAGTTTTTTTTTTCTCATTATGCACTGTGTGCTGCAGGATTTTTTTTAGACTGTGCACACTGACCACATAGACCCATTCTTTCATATGAAGGCCTACCAGCTTTCTCCCACTAGATTTGAGGCCGCTAGAATTTATGAGTACTAGTACGTCAAAAACCCCTACGCGTAAGACGTACTAGTACGACGAAAACCCTCAAAGGGTTAAACGAATTCGTTGCTAAGTGAGGAGCATACTATAATGGTAGTGAGTTTGTGTCAACCTTCTTTCATATTATTTTAATGTCACCTTTGTACCATTTATAACATTTCTGGTATATTTTTAAATGTTTATACAGTAGTGTACAGTGGTGACAGGCTCTCTGGTCAGAGAGCCTGTCATAAGTCCGAGGTGTCGGTAAACGAGTACGTTGCTAAGTGAGGAGAGGCTGTAGTGTGACAAACCATAAAATGAGTCAGCAGTGAAAATGGGGATTTCCAAGAGGGGCAGCCATGGTGAGGGCATCAGGGTGTTGAAGGCTAGAAATGCATTCTACGTTTTTATTAATGAATGGATCAATCAAAAGGTATACGACCCCAAGAAATCTTGACAGTTCTCATGGAAAGGCGACGGGCTTCTCTCCAAGCATGCTGTCCTCATTTTATTATAATACATTAATTTTTTTATTCATGGTTATTTTAGGTTACATAAACCTGAAAAAATGTATATTTACCACAAAAAAGTAAATTAGAATAATAGCTGACATATATGGCAACATGGTTGTTGCACAGTGTCTGGAAGCATTTAAATATGCACATGCATCACTTGTGTGGCATGAGAATGACTTGCTGTATCAGATGATCATGTGTGTGTGTCTTCTGTGTTATGGCAGGAGATTACACATTTCAGCAAAGATGCTGCCAGCAATCCTGTATGCACTGAGACAGAACTAAAAAAAAACTAAAAAGGCTAACTTCTTGGTAAAAGGTACTGAGCCATGAAAATGGCAGGGAGGTCTGCCATATTTACTGTCCCAAACAACAGTAATTATTACTGTATTCAATGACCTAGCAAAAGATAATCTCTGTTTGCTGAAGATGCAATACCTACAATGTTGTAGGCTAAGGACAATAGAATGTGAGAAATCAGACCTCTGGATTAGTTGTAACACTTTGGGAGTCTGAGGCTATAACAAATGAGGTAGACAAAGAAGCAATGAGGATGATAGCAGCAAGATAGGCACATAATTCACCTGTGGAAATACTGGCTGGCTTCTTTAAGCATCCCTGGATCATGCTATCTGAAAAAACAGCTGTATATCCTATTCCAGCAGAGAATTTGGAGTCATCAGTGTACACCAGTACTATGCGAGTGCAATTTAAAATGCTCCAACAGTACAGAGCATAACAAGAGACTTTGGGAATGGAAAAAAAGGGAACATACTTGGACCAGTGATGGACTCCAATGTGGAGAGAAATAA